ACACTCATAGCTTCTAGTGTTTGGTGACACCGGTGACAGTAATGAGACCAGGTCCCTTGGACCCCATGATCTGTCACTCTTGTTGTCTGTGGCTTGCTCATAGTTTAAGAAATGTAGAAGTTGGTAGGTAGAATGTTCTATTCCTTACTGACACATCCCCAAGGGATAAGGATTTGTATCCCTTCTGAAACTCATTTCTGTTTTGAGGAATTGGGTTTCTTTTGCTTTATGGCTAGAGGCTGTTTTTCCTTCTATATATTTGAGACATGGGAAGAAGAGAGCACACCCGCTGACCCTTTGTACCTCCCATTCACAGGTGTGAGTGCTTTCTCCATGCATTAATTTCTGGTGATGTCATCTCTTCAAGGGAAATTCCCAGCAAGGCTGTGGCAGTTCTGGGTCTCTGCAGCCAACATTCTTTCCATGTGTTGATGGTTTATTGTGTGCTGGAATCTTCCCTGGCTTGTGTCTCCCCAGCCACACAAGGTGGAGAAAGGGACTGGAAGCCCTGAGCCACACAATCTGCTTGCTGTGAGTTCCAGGAGCAAATTTTGCACCCTGGCTTGCTCCTGGAGCTGGTAGCAGTGAGGTTGTGTGGCCCAGGTGTCCCTGCCCAGTGGCACAGCCAGGCTGGTGCCACAGAGCTGCTCTGTGGCTGCAGAATCCAGCACAGCCAGGGAGCTGCACCTTGGGCTGGCACACGGGCAAGGAGGGGGATTGAGGCTATGAACTCATCCCAAAAACCCTCTGCATCTCTCCAAACCAGATGTTGGCAGCTCTCATGGAGGTGCAGACAGTCTCTGATATAACTGTTTCCCAAAATTAAAGACAAATTAATTGCTTGCCCTAATAGCACCTTGTTTCAAAAAAACTTCAGTTTCAGGCATTTCATTTTAAGAAAACACTGCTGATAAATGTTGAGGTTGCTGGGCTTAACCTATAGGGAAGGAATTAGTTCAGGTCCTGAAAGCTGACTCAGATATTTTCAGTTTTCCTGCCAGAAACCTACTTGCACAGATGGACAAATTACAGCAGAGTTACCAAGTCATATAGAAAGAAACTGGCTCCTTCAATATATATCAATTTCTGCTTGGGGAACAGTGAAATTCAGTTAAAGTCTGAGCTGCCTGTTCTGCTTTTGAGCACTGGCAGAATTGAGCTGGTGTCAGCCCTTTTTCTTTCATTAAACTCCTGAGAACCCTGAGGTAGGACATAAATGGAAAAGCAGTGGGGGGAAAATCCGGAGCAGAGGAAATGGCAGAGGTGTCCTGCTCCAGCTGTGGAGGAGAACAGAGTTTCCCTCAGCATGTGGAATATCTGACTTTGCCATGTGTTTGTGCAGGTTGTCGTGTCCTCATACACTTGGAGAGGAAAAGGGATGTTCATGGGTGTATGTGTATAAATGTACACAAAAAATAGCAATTGTCTGTATTGCATATGGAGTGGTTTTGGAACCAGTTTCTGAGTGGTTCATGGAATGCCTGTGGCCCAAATGAGCAGCAGGATAAGAATTTTAGAGTTGTTTTGTTGTTTCTATTTTTTTCTTCTGATAAGGAAAACAAAACGACAAGGCCTGTCATGGATGGGACTCCTTTTTGCCTTGGGGAGCTCCCCAGCTGTCCCTCTTCAGAGCTAAAACATAAGTTTTGAGTGACTGATTAGAGATGGAAGATGGGGGTCCCAGCTTATTTTAGCAAATTAATTTTATCATATGAGTTCCAACAGGATCCATGCTAGCCAAAGATCCGTAAGAACTGGTAAGAAGAGGAATTAGCTCTTTAATCCTAGATATAGAGCTCCAAAACCAGGCACAGCATAGAACCAACTATAAATAATTCCCTAAGTTGTTTTAGATTTTTGTATGTTTAATCTAGTTATCACAACTAGATGGCTGGATGGTCTGTAGTCTTGAATATCTGGTCTCAGAAGGGCAATACTATTTAGGTCTTTATGTGGATTATGTTTTTTAAGAATGCTTTTATTCCCAGATGAAGTAAAAATCTTATTACTTAAGTTTGAATACCACTGCTTCAAAAAACATAGTTTAAATATTAAAGAGATATTTGGAGTGTGTCAGCATGGGATAAACCAAGGAGAGGGATTTGAGCAGGAACTGAGAGAGAAGTGTGGATGTGGTACTTGTTGCAGATGATTTCATGGTGTTGGGCATCTGATTCCATGGTATTGATGAAACTGAGTCACTCTACCACAAAAGGAATACTTGGGACAGTTTTCCTGCTTTGCACAAGGATTGTAAGAGGAACCTTCTCACAGCATTGTTTGGAGGAAATTCCTACCCAGTGCATTCACTGGGGGCAATACCAGCTGGTGAGCACAAAACTGTGACATTTTTCTGTACGTATTTCCAGTTTGAGGAACATCCAGTGCATTTACAAACTTGTCATTCTTCAATTGTAGGCGACACTGCCCATTTCATCCCAGGCTGGTGACTGCTTTGCCTGTCACCCTCTCTGTGATCCAGATCTTCCTCAGAAACCACAGCCAGCCTGCAGTTCCCTGCTTTCTAATTGTGCATGACTAAGCCTTCCAGCACGTTAGAAATACTGTTGCTCATTCAAAATACACTGGTTACCTGTGCACCAATGACTGCCAGCATATTTCTGCAGTGGAGTGGTTGAGCATTGGGAAATTGACAGAAATTAAATCATTTGAGTCACAGTATTGCCCTTTCTGCTCACACCCACGTGTGTGAGTTACGTATGTGCAGCTTGTGGGAGATGCATGAACGTGAGCGGCACTGCACACACCCTGCCAGCAAACAAGGAACTGCAGAAAATGCATATTCCTCCACAATTCACACCAAAATATGAGGAAGTGAAGAGTACACTAAAGTATTTTGTTTTTTGTGGTTGTTGGAATCCTCAAAATGTTCTTTTCAACCAGGGATTACAGTGAGCAGAACAATGCAAACGTGTCACTGGTAGATTTTTGTCTGCTGATGGATGTATTTATGGCTGAGGCACGTGGCTTGGAGTCTGCATGGCATTTTCCATGTTTGTGAATGAGACTTGGACTCCAGCTTGGCTTTGCTGTAGGGCACAAAATCAGTCATTTCCCTTGACTTTTTCCCATCTGAAGAAGGAGAATTGGTAATTGCTCATTTTTCCCAAAGCACTTTCATGGTTAAGGACATATCATAAGCATAGAATTACAGAGGAAGGGAAGGAACTTAAAATTCATCCCATCCCACCCCCTGCCATGGCAGGAACACCTTCCACTGTCCCTCGTTGCTCCAAGCTCCATCCAACCTTGCCTTGGACACTTCCAGGGATGGGGCAGCCACAGCTGCTCTGGGCACCTGTGCCAGGGCTTTGCCACCGTCAGAGGGAAGAATTTCTTCTTAATATCCAATTTAAACCTGCCTTCCTTCAGTTTAAGTCCCTGCTGTTCTTCTCACAAATGATCTACAGAATAATGACAGCAAATTGAGGATTTATAGAGGTTAAATTTGTAGAAATAGATTTCCCTGTGCTTACAACTTTCTGCAGTGACTGCTTCATTTCTGTCCCTGCAATTATTTCTGGGTGTAGCTCAAGCTGCTTAGATGGGTGAGAGTTTGCTTGTTCTCATGTATCTGGTATTCAGGCATCAAAGCATTGTGTCTTAGCCTGCACCCAGAAAACTGCAGGGGCAGTGAAAGAGCTTAGGTTGAAAATCAGGTCCTCAGAGTTCATGAAAGTGTTGATTGAAATGAGCCATTAAAAAAAATTCTATTGGATAAGCAAATTCTTTTTGACCATTTTAGACTGAGTTGTGCTGAATGTGAAGTGCATCCTTGTGGCATTCACATTCTCTGAACAGAGAGAAGAAAGAGAAAACAATTTTTATCTTTACTTGGTGCTTGCTCCTGTTGTTTTGCACATGTGGAATATGTTGGGAAGATTTTTACCTGAAGTGATTTGTCAATTGGATTCTGCTGAGGATTGTTTTGTTTCCTTGGCCAGTTGGAAAAAAACTGTGTCCTGACTGTCTGGAGACAGTCATGAGTTTTCTTTAGTACGTGTCTGTATAGTATAGTATAGTGTAGTGTAGTGTAGTATAGTATAGTATAGTATAGTATCCTTTTAGTGTAGTGTAATGTAATATAATATAATATAATATAATACAATTGTAATATAGTTTTACTAAAGCAATTGTTCAGCATTCTGGATCAATGGAGTCAGATGCCAGTCATTCCCAGATGTTGCGGTCACCTGTTTTTTGATATATCTTCATTCTGTGGGATTGCCCTTCACCCAGAGGTGTTCCCTGGGCAGCTGAATGCCTCCTGCATGCCCCTGCCCTGTGTGGCTCTGGGTCATTCCCTGCTTACAGAGGACATGGATGTTCCTGGGTTCCCAGTAAAGCTCAGGTCTCCTCTGACAGTTTTGGGGAGGTGTGTGCTGCTCTTCAAGGCAAGTGGAGTGAGATGGGTGCTCAGCACCTTTAAAAGATTCTGTTACTCCATAGCTTTCAATGAAGAAGGACATTCAGTTTGGGGAATTTTGGGTTCCACTCTTTCCCAGCTTTGAAGAGCCTTTAGGATTCCCTAGTCAGAACCTGTCCTTGGCACGCTGGGAAGGATGGGTTGTGTCAGCAGGAGTTGCTGTTCCTGGATTCCAAAGCAGGGTTTGTTACACTCACCCACCTCCCCAGGCCTTCCCAAAGCAGCAAGAGTGAGCTGGGATCTGGCAACAAACTGGGGGTCTTCTGCCTCCTTTAGGACATGTTCTTGAATGTCACTGAGTAAATGTTTTGTTATTACTTTTCTTTCATGCCTATAAATCTTTACCAAAAATATCGTCCCTTTCTTCTGGGCAAAAGACAAATGAAACAGCTCTGAAGTTCTAAAAATATATCATAAATATAAAGTTCTAAAAATAAATGCATACAGGAGCATCATTTTCCAGTCACATGAATTTGTGTTTCCCTGATTGCTGTCCATCCTGGATTTAAAAAGCCAAGGGGGAACCTGTTAATGTTTCAATTTCTTTTCTCAGTATTTCTGGCTCTTTGTGCTGTCCCGGGGTTTGGTTGGCATTGGTGAAGCGAGTTACTCCACTATTGCACCAACCATCATTGGAGACCTGTTCACCAAAAACACAAGGACCCTGATGCTCTCAGTTTTTTACTTTGCAATTCCTCTGGGCAGGTAAGTGACACAAAGATCCTTCAATCTCTTTATGGCTTTTCTCTGAAATAAACTCACATAGATCTGAAATTGCTAATGATGATAGTTCTTGACCTTGGCTGGAATGTAGACAGGAAAATATTGTGAGCAGTGACTAATTAGTTGCAGGAATTAGATTCTTTTTTGGCTCTGTTACTGGTTCATGTGTGACTTTTGGGAACTAATGGGAAGTTTGTTGTTGGTTTATTTAGTTTTTTTCCTCCATTTTTACAGCAATGGGATGGAAATGGAATAAAAATATTTTAGCTGACTTTTTCTCTCAGTGGAATTTCTTTATCAGCCCAACACAGTATCTGACTGTTGGGACAGGAGGGAATCTGTCATTATTTTTATTTTTTAAAATAATGGCTGGCCCTCTATTGTGAGATTGTCAGCAAGGTGGCTTTGCATAGTTTGCATACCATTTCCCAGAGCTGGACAATATTCTCGGAAAAAGGGCAGTATGGGTTCATTTCCAGCAGGGAATCCACGGGCAACACGTTCCAAACTCTGAGAAAAACTTCTGGTGGTGCATTTTAGAAGCTGGAGCACTTACCTGTGAGATAAAACTCACAAACATCCTTTTGCTCTTGAGGAAAAAGAGAGAAACAGATCTTTAAGTGGTGAAAAGAGTATTTTGCCAAGAGGATCAAGAATTCCAAGTATTCACATAGAAAATTCAATGAACTAAAAAGAAATTAAAAATGTTTATCCTGTTGAGCTTGATTCTGGGACTTCATTGTCTCAATATCCAGCAGCAGTGTGGATTACAAGCCATGGAGGACAGGACAAGGTTTGTAAACTGAAAGAGGGTTTGATTGGATATTGGGAAGAAATTGTTCCCTGTGAAGGTGGTGAAGCCCTGGCACAGATTCCCAGAGCAGCTGGGGCTGCCCCTGGATCCCTGGCAGTGCCCAAGGCTGGACAGGGCTTGGAGCAGCCTGGGACAGTGGGAGGTGTCCCTGCCCATGGGAGGGGTAAAACTGGATGGATTTTAAGTTCCTTCCCAGCCCAAACCAGTCTGTGATGATTCATGGCTTGATTTGGGGGCCTGTCTGGGTAAAATGTCCAGTTCTAGGGAGGTTATAGCTGACAACCTCCAAAGCTTAGCAGATTCTTCAATAAAGGAAGGAGAGGTCTAGGGAGGGGCTCACAGTTGCCCCACTGCAATCCTGGCAACTTTAGCCAAGGCAGTCTCAGCAACAAATGCAGCAGTTTTGAGAAAGGGTATTTACCTTCAGTTCATGTTGAGAGAAATGTGCCTTTGTTCACCTTTTGATGCACCTTTTGCCTTACATGTGGCTGAAGGTCTCCCATCAAACTTGCATGTTCTTCTTGAGTTTTCTTCCAAGCTAACAGAAAATAGACTCTTCCTGCCTAATTAGAGCCAAGTACTATTTAGTGGCAAGAAGAGAAAAATCTAATGATGGAATATGGTCTGTCCTTGACAGGTACTTGTTAACTGAAAGCTTGAACATAAAATTGTTCAATATTCATATTAGTACAGAGAAAGGCCTGATGTAGAAGTAAAATTGGGAAATAAATTCTTTTTAAGTCTTTCTTTCCATCCACTGTAGATTGAAAGGTCAGCCATAAACTTCCAAATTTCCATCAGATTTGGACATTTTTAGATCAGCACTGCTGGGTAGAGTCACATACCATCCACCATCTGCTTCAATCCCCATATTTCTTCCTGTAGGACAAGAGAGCTGAGGACACACAGCTGGTTGTGCCTCTCTCTGCCTTTGTCTAAGAACAGCTGTGAGTGTGCACACTTCAAGCTCTGACCAGCTCTCTCTGCCCTTTCTTGCAGTGGCCTGGGGTACATCACTGGCTCCAGTGTGAAGCAGGTTGCTGGAGACTGGCACTGGGCACTGCGGGTAAGTCCCTCTTAATGGCACATCTTAATGAGAGTTAATTGGTTCATTGTGTAAGGAAGAGTTCCATCACACAATGGCTCAACCTGGTATTGTATCTGAAAGGTGAAGGATTGGAGATTACATCTGTGGGTGTTGAGTGCATGGCAGATGCACTCTCTAAGCAAAGATTTGTGGGCTTGTGGGACTTGGAGTTTTCCCTGCTTGGGAGCAAGAATTTTCTAATCACTTTGCTATCAATCAATCAATCATGACTTTTTGATGGGGGCAGGAAGACGAGGCATTGGCCTTAAATCAACTCCACAGTCTTTCAGTCTCCTGCTGTCAAGAAACTCTGAGAATGGCTTCCGGCTTTGAGGAAAAAACACTTTGTTCCAGTTTCCGCTTGTTTTTCTGCCCTGAGACACTCCATTTCCTTCTATTTTCGCCTCTTGGGACCCTGATAAATGGGCTGAAAAGATAATCCACTCCAGTCACATGCTCACAAACAGCTTCTGCACACAAAGATGTCTTGAAAGAGCTGAGAGGAAGTGGCCCAGCAGAACTGGTGTCTGACCTTTGGTGCTGTGGGTGGCATGTGAGGTGCATTCTCTGGCTCTGACACTTCATGGGGACCATGAAGCTCATGAAGCTCAGGCCAGCACTGTTTATAACAGCTGGTGATGAAAAGCAAGGGTTCCCATCTGAAGCAAATACACCCTCTGTGACACAGGCCATGCCCAGGGTAAGCAAAGCCAGGAGCATCACCATGAACAGTTCATCTGGGAGAGTGCAGGGCAATTTCCAGCTGTGCACCAGAGTGGAAAGTGGAGTAGCCTAAAGCTTCCCACCAGGAGGATGCTGCCTCATTAGCAGAAATATTTAAGTGTAACATTAACTTTTGAGCAGAGGTGAACACAAGAAGTAAAAACCCCAAAGCCTGTCCTCTGGTCAGCAGGGCTTTAACTGGAGCACTCTCGGAAAATCAAATCTGTCTGTTAAACCCAAATGGTTAATCTGTGTAAAGAGATCATCACTAGGACTTTTCAGGTGGTGTCTTCATAGTTATCCTGAGTAATCCAGGCTGTCTGCAAGACTGTACCCCTTACAGGTCATGATTTCCTCTATAAATGACACAGTGGTGCAGGATTCCCTAGCTGTACAAAATCTGGGGAATCTGATGAGCTGCACACATCTGTGGGGTTGCTTTAGACACCATTGCTCAGGCTTTGTAGTCACACAGCACATATAAAAAGCATCCAGACATCAGTAAAGCAGCTTCCATCCCCGTGGCAATGATTGTGCTCTTACAAGATGGGAATGACTCCCCAAGATGATGCTTCCCTCTGTGATCTCCTGTGGGCTCCAAATACAGAAGAGGTCAGGAATAATCCACACTTCAATGGGCTGAAAAAGACAGAAGGGCACATGGACAAGTGGCAGCTTTGTCTCTGGATCCTACAACAAAGCAAGTGTTTCACTGCAGCATTACTGAGTGCCCATGGATATTGTCCTGATGGGTACTTAAGCTCTTAGATAAACATCAAAGACACTTGCAATCATCTGGCTGTAGAAAAAACAGCATTTTCTGTACTTTTTACCAGTTCTGTGTCTTCTTTTCACCTGTCAGAAGGATACTATATCAGGCTTCAATGTCTTCCTGGATGAGTGATTTTCCTGACTTTTAAATTCTGAAATACTTTTGTCTTTCCTTCCCTAGAAGGATTGTGAGTTTGTCATCTTTGGACGTGAAACACTGCTCCATGTGTAAAGGCCATTCTTAGGTTAATAATGGAAGCTTTTCCTTTTTTTTTTTTTTAATTTTGGTCAGGAATTATTTTTAAATAGCATATTTAGATGAGATGCTAGTTCAGTGAAATCCATGTTCCTGTTTTCCTGATGGAACTATTTTCCATTCTGACAATGATGGAATTTCAAAACAATTCTTGTCAAAACAAGAATAGTTCTTATAGCTTGCAAAATGCTGTGGGATCTTTGTATTTTTGCCTAATGCTTAGGAGAAAGGTTGGATATTGGGAAACCAAGCCCTTGAATGTGTTGTTTCCCTATCTTCCAGCCTGAATTTTCAAAGTTTCTTGGTCTGTTGTACTGAGGAAGATGTCTGAAAACAGGAAGTCATTGTGGGTTAGCTGGAAGAGGAATGTGTATCAAGCAAGGGTTTTCAAAGCATGTTTACTACACCCAAAAATCTTTCAGCTGGTCTGATTGACTTTAAAAGGCCTCTGCACTCACCCAGAAACCAGCTGGTCTCTCAGCCCAGCTGGGAGCAGGTTTCCAAAGAGTTAAACATCACTCAGGAATCATGTTTAGATGAATCTTGGTACTTAATGGACTGCCTTACTCAGGGTATTTTCAAAGCTGCATGTGTCCAGAGTGAGATAAGAGAGTCCAGGGAATGCCCTGGAGGAAGGACAGGAGCAGATGCCTCAATGCTTGCAGGTCCTGACTGGCTGTGAGGAGCAGTCACTGAAACCAAAAGGATGAATTCTGCTTCTTCCTGACCAGTCAAAGCAACCCCTCCTGGCTCCTAATTCCCTAATTCTCTGCTCCTTTCTTGCAGGTATCTCCACTCCTGGGAATGATAACAGGGACACTCATCTTGATATTTGTGCCTGCTGCTAAAAGAGGAAATGCTGAACAGCTTGGGGGGCAGCTGAAGGCTCGGACTTCATGGCTGAGAGACATGAAAGCCTTGATTAGAAAGTAAGAGCATGAGTAAAAACCATGGTTTGCCTCTAATGCTTAATTGGAACATCCAATGGTCTGGATTTAGCACAGTGAGACTGGAAAGTGATGACATGCAGGGAGTTGCAGGAAGTTTAGTCTGTGCACTTAAGGAAGAAAATCACAGTTACATGAGGTATTGACTGCTGTGACAATGATGAATTCCAAGTTTTGCTCTAACCTTTCCAAGATTGGCATCTAAGAAAAAGCTTGCTTTTCTTGGCTCATACTTCACACAAATCAGGGCTTTTGAAGTGTAGAAATTGCTGTGTTCCTGTATTAATTGTTGTGCCACTGCTGCTCAGACACTTAGATCCATTTTCTTCTTTAAAAGAGCTATTTTGCTGAGGGAGAAAAGAGAGTTTTAGCAATTGAAGATAAAAAACCACACAGAAGCTTGCACTCTGGCAAGTTTAAATATATGTGAACAACCACCCGTGGCTGAATCCATGAGAACTGAATGTGCTTGGGCACTCTGTGTGTGCATAAAGGTTCACATGCTCACAAGTGCTTCAGCAGCTGCACTTCCTTCCAGAAATCTGGCCTGTGAATGTGCAAATACTTTCACTTCTGAATTCAGGGTTATCTTGTAATTCTGATGGGAAACTTGTGATGGAACTACTGGCTAGAATACCTGCCTGGAATTGTCATCCAGTGCCAAAGGACTGTGAAAAGCGATGTGAGATAATTTATCATTATTTCTATGGAGGTAGTTTATGTTAGTAGTAACAATAAAGGTAGCATGGATGGGGAGGGAGAAGTGAAACTGCTCCTCCAAGTAAACAGGTGACATTAGGGTGAAAGCCCTGTAATTCACATATCCTGTCCTAGTGACCAAGTACTAACTGGCTTCTCAAACAGCCCCTGTGTAACATCTCTGATGAGTTCAGTTTATTATCATCAGTGGAGCATCACATGTGAACTTTCCATGCTTTTTATTCTCCATTTTTATACCTTGTATTACCTCTTCCCCTTGGCAAAGGGAGGTGGCAAGTGTGGGGGAACACTGGGCTTTGTCACTGAAGCCCTGGCTCCTGCTTTTTCATTTTTGTCACTAAACCCTCTCTTGGTTCTGTCTCCCAGCCGCAGCTATGTGTTCTCATCCCTGGCCACCTCAGCTGTCTCCTTTGCCACGGGGGCACTTGGGATGTGGATCCCTCTGTACCTTCACAGAGCACAGGTGGTGCAGAAGACAGCAGAGACCTGCAGCTCCCAGCCCTGTGGCACCAAGGATAGGTGAGAGCCAGGGTCAGCTGCTTGACACAGGGGGAGAGGGGGTGGGGGTTATTTACCAGAGGAAACAGTAAGTCCCACAGAGACAAGGTACTAGAATGTCTGTAATTTCCTCCAGGTCCTTGTAACAATGATAGGAAATGCTGGGATTGTAAACTAGGCTTTATTTCTCTTCTTCATTGCATGAAGTCAAACCAAGGGAGAAGCAATGACCTCAGCTCTGTCTTAGTTCCCAGGCTGTGGTGTAGAGCAGAAAAGAGAAATCCTTTAAGGAGGATGTTTGGAGAGCTGAGAATTTGGTTCCTTAAGACCCATCTGTGATAGCAGCAGAATAAGCTGGCAGGTGAGGAGGCCCCAGTGGTGCCTGTAATTCAGAGGTTGGAATGGTTTCCCTAAAGCTGCAGGGACTAATCCTGTAGGCTTTTGTTTCTGTTTTATTGCTCTGTAAACTGCTGTGTGTGCTGAGTTTTGCTGAAGAATGTCCCAGAGATCTGGGACACTTTGGGCTGGAGTTTTTGATCTTTTACAGTGGTTTTGTTTTCAGTCCTGGTTATGGAATATCACTTGCAACACACGAGCTATGAAAAGTAATTCTTCATTTTGTGATTTACAATGGGGGCACAAACCAGGAAATGCTATAAAAGCATTCCTTCAGGTAAATAAAGGATACTAAAAGAGCCTTTTGTCAGATCTTTTGCTTTTTAGCTCATGAGAGAAAACAATATTAGGGAAACCTTCTTGCCATAACATAATCCCATCTCAATTAAAGCAGTTAGTGGTGTGGAGTCCAACAACCAGAGTGTCCAGCAGGCAAGCTCAGGCTGTTCCACAAAAATGCAGTGAACAAAGCACACAGCTCCCGCCTGACTGCCTGTCTGCTGTTTACAAAGAGAATTTCCCCCTCCTTGATGACACCTCAGCTTTGAACTGTCCTCAGGCTACTCTGATGTGGTTGCCCAAGACCCTGGAATCCAAGTCCTGCACATATCATATGGAGATTCCTCCTGGCTCTTTAAATTGAAATTAACTCATTTCAAATGTGTTACCTAACAGCAAAAAGCTTCTTTGAAGTGGCCTGAAAGGAGTTATTAAGTCAAAGTATGTTGGACATCACTGGAGTCTTGTTAGGTTTCCTTGCCCTGAAGCTTCCTGGTGCCTGTCCATGATTTCCCCTCACAGGATCAATGAAAGGTTATTAATTAGTTTGTGTATACATAATTAGCTGTTCAGGGCTCTTCCCAGGAACACCAGTTCCACCCAAGGAAGTAGTGGGAGCCCTTTGCACCCCTTTGCCCACAGATCAAAACCTTTGTACAAGAATAAATTTCACATGCTGTGTTTTTCTTAATTGCAGGGGGAAAGGACTAAAACCATGAGCATTTGTTTTATTTAAAATTTGCAAAGCCATTATGCAAATTGTGCAAATTAGTCAATTTACCCTAATAATTATATTATTATTAATAAAATAGGAATACATAATAAAATAATAATACCTAATATCTAATAAAATAATAATACCTAATAAAATAATAAGATCTAATAAAATAAGAACACATAATAAAATAATAATACATAATGCCTAATAAAATAATATCACCTAATAAAATAATAATACCCAAAGACTATGCCCATTTTGGGGAAAAAAATCCTCCCACCTTTCTCTTATTTTCTTTCTTACTTTCCTTGTTTTTATTTTTTGTTTTTGGACAGTTTGATCTTTGGAGCAATCACATGCTTCACTGGCTTCCTGGGTGTAATCACAGGGGCAGGAGCCACCAAATGGTGCAGGTCCAAGACCCAGCGAGCTGATCCTCTTGTCTGTGCTGTTGGAATGCTGGGATCAGCCATCTTCATCTGTCTGATCTTCGTGGCAGCCAAGAGCAGCATCGTGGGAGCCTATGTGAGTCAAATCCTTTCCTTATGCCAGCCCTGCTCTAAGAGCCTTGGGTAGCACGGGGGGGATGGACAGAGAGCAGAGATCTCTGCAGCCAGGTCAGGAACTTGGGGTTCATTGCAAAGGGCCTGGGGGCAGGGCCCTGCTGGGAGCTGCCAAACACAGCTCAGAGCAGGCCTGAGGGGAGAGAGGGGGAGAGAGGGTGAGAGAGCAAAAGGGTAACAGAGTAAAAGGGTAAGAGAGTGAGGTTCCCGTTACAATACCATAAATCATCTTCTGTGCTGAATATTCTCATTCTCACTAAGCAATCTACTACAAGATACAAACCCTGTAGCATTTCCATACAGCCAATAAGAATCACTACATTACCACACTGTGTTACATTTTAAACCCTAAAAACTCCTCTTTGGGCCCCTTCTGCCAAGCTGTAGGGTCTGCTCTGACCCTTGGGCCTGTCTGCAAGCAGAGGGTGTTGTTCCATCAAAAGGGGATCCCCTTCAGCAGCCACACCATTGTTTTCCAGTTGTTCAGTTACTGAGGGATCTCAAAGCTTGCTTTCATTTCAATCTCACTTATAGTTTCCACATTCTCAAAATCTTTTGCCAGACAATCATATTTATAAGGCTTTCCCTGTTTCATCTTCCCCAACACCCTACCAAACTCCTTGAGGGCTGTGTGCATTGTCCCCTGCAGAAAGCCTGGGATGTTCTCTTTGCCCTTCTGAATGTCCTTCTTTTTGCCTCTTGGCATTCTGGCACTTTCTAAGTGTGCCTGAAATCTCAGCTGTTTATCCCTGCTGCCATCAGAGTTCAGAGCTCCATGGAAACCCACAGCCTTTGGGCTGTTCTATCTGCACCTCAATCCACACCCTTATTGCTCTTGCCTCATGTTTTGGTACAGGAAAATTGAGCACTTCCCTTGCAGTGAGGGTGATGTAGCTGCAGTGGTACCAGATGACAATTACAGTGTAATTTGTCTGTGGGCAAGCTTCTGGCTCCCTTTCAGTGCCATTCATTTCCATAACCAGGTGGATTGCACCAGGCCAGTATTAATAAGCCAGTAATTCAATTTGTTATCTGTATTACCATAGCCCAGGAACCTACAATACTTGATGCTGCACAAATGCAGATTAAAATGTGGCCCCTCCCTGAGTGCTTATAATTGAATTATATGAAAAGATATCAAATAGATCTAGATAAATAGAATGGTTTGGGTTGAAAGGGACTTTTGAAGGTCATCCAACCCTCACTTGCACTGGACCTTGCTGCTGAGAGCCCCCTCCAATCCAGCCTTGAATATTTCCAGGAATGAGGCATCCCCCACCTCCTGGCCACCCTGTGCCAATGCTTTACCACCTTTTAAAAAACTCCTTCCTTACATCTCATCTAAACCAACCCTCTTTTAGTTAGACTAGGGGGAAAAAGAAAAGCTCAACTGAAATAATCCAGCCTCAGGCTAGAATCTTGCTTTCAGCGGGGAGTAAAAATCCAAGAACTGAACAAGTCTCTGCTTCCCTTTTAATGTCAGAATGAGAGAAGCCTGGGACCTGGGAGAAGTTTATGAAGGGAAAGTATGAGATATTTGGAGTAGTGGGATCCCTTCTGAAAATCCTTTCATTCCACACTGCAGCACCTGCTCATCCAGCAAGGAGAGTTCCTGTACAAGTGACCAGCCAAGGGCTGTTCCTCATTTCTCTGTGTTTCCACACTGGCCTGGCCATGGTTATTTGCTGAGTCTTTCAGCAGCTGCCACAGTTAAGGGCAAGCACAGAAAGAGTGGACGTTCAAAATCATTAGGACACAGCCAAGAATACCTCCTCTGGCTAGTTAAGGTTCAGGTCTCTGGTTTGTGACCATGGGCTAAAATTTGAACTGGCAGAAAATGCTCACCTCAGACAACCTGTGAGAGGGTGTTACTGGTTACCCTCCTTTCACTGATCTATCACACCCCTCACCTGCTCCCTCCACCTCTGTGTGCAGACAGAGCTGTGATTTTCTCCTTTCCCAGACCTAGAGACAGACATGTTCATTTGAGGTGTTCAGTCTCTTTATACAGAAACTTCTCCTTGTCTAGGCTGGAAATACTGTTTTCAGAAATTGTGCAGCAGGAGGTGGCTATTAATCTCATTTTTATCTTTTTTTTCCAATTTTTTAATAGCCATGTGACTATTCTGCATTGTTTAAGTATATAAATATAGATTGTATCATTTAAACAATCCTTGAAGCAATTTATTTTATTATGGATGAGCAGTAAATCTAATAAGGAGTCAATGATTTGCAAAGGAAGTTAGAGCTGCATATGGAGGAGGCGTAGGGAATATGAGCCTGTTTGTGATGTAATAGGCTGAAGCAAGAAGCTTTGCCTCTCCATAGCCCCAAATTCCCTGCTGCTGGAAACCTGATGCCCAGAAAGAGGGGACAGGTCTGGGTTGGAGCTACCATGTCTCGTTATTCTCATTATTGTAGAAGAGCCACTCTGAATTGACTTTCCAAGGCAAGTTTCTAACACAAACTCGTTTTTCCATGCTATTCAAAGAGCTGTGGCAATCTTGCAGACTTCCAGAGAGTTTAATTCCTTGTATTTCAAGGAGAATGGGAGTAGGGGACCTGCATTGCCAGGCTGCATGGTGTAGCAGTTTCTCATTGCTCTTTATTTTAAGTCTCATTGGTCCATAATGAAGAGAAGAGTGTTCTGTGGCTGGTGGGCAGAATGATGGGCTAGGTTACCTTCCTTTATCTCAAAATCCATGATGAAATCTCCTTCTGGAAGCAATACAGTAAAATTTATGGGTTGATTTTCGTGTCTCTGATATCTTCCTTGACAGCTTGTGCTGGCTCACATCCTTGAGTTCTGTGTCTGTGGAAGGCAGGGCAGTGTCTGTCCCCCAGCATGGTGGTATTTGCCAGCCTTCTGTACTGTGACTGTCCTTAGGCTTCTGCCATGGATCACACCGTGCAAAAATTGACAGTGAATGTTTTTGCAACCCTCCTTGGCTCAGAGCCTTAAAATTCTCACTTCCAAGCAATTATGTGGGCTCCCACGAGATGATGTTCCCTCTCACTGGGAGAGAGCTGCAGTGGCCACCAGATCACCATCTCCTCCCTGCTGTAGTCAACAGCTGAGAGCTTCGTTGCTGACTGATACAGGCATCAGCTTCAGTGAAGTGTTCAGCACTCCAGCAAGAGCCTGCAGAGCCCTTGCTTTTTCATTTCTTGGTTTTATGGGTTTTATCTTCCACCCTGCCCCTTACAAGCTGTGTACTGTCTGCCCTCTCCCTCCCCTGAGCACATGTATTATTTCTCTCCTGCTCAGTTCTTTCTTGCAATTGATTTTGGTCCCTGGGGGCAGTTGCTGTTCCATTCTGTAGCAGCCACTCCCACCTGAGGCAGGTAGGCAGGTGACTTTTTTCCAGCCAATCTTTTCCTACTGATCCAGTAAATTATTGGCAGTGGTAAAGTGGCTGGCAAGGTGAATTAAAACAACAATTCTGTATAATTTAGCTGCCCAGACACCTGTATTTCTCTATTTTATTATCTTGCTTGGCTGTATAGTCCTGTCTCTTACTCAGTTTGCCTTGCAGTGTGTGGATTTGTGTGTTGTAATCCAGCTCCTTAAAGCACCAATTTGCATATCTGTAAGTCCCATTTTTCCTGAAATACAAACTCTTTGAAACTTGGTTTTCAAACCTGTCCCTGGAAACCCATTATGTGTGTGGCATCATCATCTCACTGCTGAGACATTTCAACTGCAGATTTTACACTTGTTTAAATCTCCAAGTGACTGGAGAAAGATGCTCTGCTTTGCCTTCCTTTGACACTGTTTCAAATTCCTCAATTTCAACATCTATTTCAGTTCCTGAAAGACATTTTATGATCTTGCAGAAACAGCAAATCCTAGGGTAAAACCTTGCCCGAGAGCTTTGACAGCATCTTAGTCTCAACCCCAGGGACTTTCTGTTGTCATGTTGTTGGTGACCTGCCTGCTTCTGAGGCATCAATATTGCCCAGAACTGAGCTGGAGGCAGAATTGCTCCAAATTCAGGAGGGTGTGTTATCCACCATTGCAGAGAGAAATGCAAATAATGAAGATACTGACAGTTACACCCTTTGCAAGCACACATGGAAGGCATTTGTAACCTGCTTAGAGCTTGCAGTGAGAGCTGCTGCTGTGTCCACTCTGAAACCTGCTTTATTTATCATTTTTGGGAGTCAGGATTGGCTAACTGATCACTTAAACAGAAAAGCACAGATGAGCAATCAGACACCAAATGGACGTGGTGAGATGTTACACAGCCCAGCTGGAGCCAGAAACAGATGTATATGTAGAGCTGAAGTCTCAGTGTAAAATGAGGCTTCAAAAAGTGTGTGAGGAGTCCAAACTGAGCATTTCAGGAGCTGTAATCTGCTCTGAGGCTGCCCTATTTGCTGGAAGCTTCCCTGGAGCCTCCCTTCTGCAGAAATGCCACATATCCTCACATGCCCTTTGCTTTGGGTGAACTCATTTTTACAAGCCCCCATCAGCAGCTGAAGGACAGACATTTTTAATGTATCTTCTATCCTACTTTTTGATCTTTCTCTTGTTCCTTTTTTCCTTTTACCAGTACCCACCTATTAATCACATGTTTCATGGATTGTTGAAACACCCATTCATCAGCTCAGAACTGGTGTGCTCTGAAGTTTGCAGCATTTCAGTGATTTATTTAAAGGGCTTGTGCTAAATTCCTGCGCAAGGGACACCTTCTTGCTGCCTGTAGCAATTCAAATGTGTGCAGTTCACACCAGCTGAAGGCAGCAGTGGCCTGTGTGCAGTGCTGGGAGCAGGCAGGACAGGTTGATGCTGCATTGAGAAGTGTGATTCCATTGTTGCCAAGCTCACTTTGGTCTCTCCAGCCACAGAACCCAGCAAGAGCAGCTGCAAAGCTGTATCAGGACAGATTTCAGAGCAGGTCTGAGTATGAATCTGGTACCCATGGGACACATGGCTTCAGCTCCTGAGAGCACCTTGGTTTATTGGATGTGTTCTTACCTTGGCAGTTGTCATTTCCAGGGAAAGCCAATCTCATGGGCAGTGGGAAAATGGAAATAGAGGTTTTCTAACTGAGCAGCTGGGCTGCAATGACTGGCTCAGACACCATCACAGAGGAAGCAGATCCAGTCACAGAAAAAGGAGATAGGGAGGGAAAGTATTTGGGAAACAAAGACAATTTTAGAAACAAATAGAGGAAGCTTCTGTAGGTCAGTGCAAAAGACTTGCTAAATAAAGCACATTATTCCTGGCAGTGATGGGGTGGTCTGAGGGGTTTGGGCAACCTCAGGGTGTGTGGGAAGGACAGTGCCAGTGGTCACATGGCACAGCTGCCTCTCCTGCAGCTCTGTGGCTTTTATTGGCTCTTGTTGACCATCTCCAGAGAGCCAAGGATTGCATCTCACAACAAGACAATGATGTAGAAAAGCCCAGAGTCAGTTCCAGTCCCCACTGGACAGATATTACCTGTGTGAGGCTGTCAGGGAGGGAAGGGATCCTCAGCTCTCTGCAGAGAACCTCAGCTGCTCTGCTGCAGAGCTGAACACAAAACTTGGTTCCCAGGAATGGAAATAGCTGTGCTTTGGGGAGCTGTGGCTTTCTTGCCTTTTCTAACTGGCTTTTTGAGAAAGAATAGTGCAAGCTGGACTTGATGATCCTTAAAGGGCTTTTCCAACCTCAACAATTCTGTGATTCTAAGTATGCAAGCCTGGGGCTGTCTCTTCATGCTGGTTTTTCATGTTCTTCTAAAATCAAATGTGTCAGCCTTTAATTTAGCTGCTCTGTAGATCATAAACTTAGTTTACAATAACAACATTTCAGCCCTCTAGAGCTCTGATACAAGTCTATGGTTTCTTGATAGTCAGGATAAACCACAACAGCAACAAGGAGTGTGCTGTGTAGGTATGAGAAAAATAAGCAACAAAAGAAAGTTTGTGGCAGGTTATTTTTCCTCTGAATGTCAAGTGAATAAATCTTCTCCTTTTTGTGTGTTTTGTTACAACAGATTTGCATTTTTATCGGAGAAACTCTTCTGTTCTCAAACTGGGCTATCACAGCAGACATACTAATGGTGAGTGCACTTTGGAACAGCATCTTTCTGTGCTCAGAGCAGTTTGGCAACTTGCAAGAGCAACCTGAAGTTCACAATTTCTTCTAGATCCTCATCCCTACTTTAGCCTTTTCTGGTTTTCATTATTATTTTTGCTTACTGAAAAGGGACATAGGGAGAAAGAAAGAAAAAAGATCTTTTTTGTCCTTTGTTCTGAGCATCAGGGAGAGATGTCCAGAAAGGACCACATTTCTGAATTCAAATAATTTCCCAAAATTTTAAGTTTGTGCAAAACCCCACATGCAGAGAATTCAGGCAGCTTTTCCTAACCGTCAGCATGGCTGTGGGCTTTGTTAGCAATAACTCAGCTTTGTTCTGCTATAGGAAATCCTTCCCTCCCTCCTGTGACCACAAAGGCAGCCCATCTACCTACCATTCAACACATACACAATAGAAGCCCACCTCTGGGAGAGCAGAGAGGAAAAGAAAGTATAAAGAATTTTTGGACCATGTTCACCTTGTCCGAGAGGAAACTGTCAGGGACTTTTCAACTCATGTCCTTCATTTTCTATTCTTTCTCCACCACAGAGCTTTTTAAGTCTTTTAAATCAAGCTGACCTCAGCAGCCCCATTTTCACATGAAATAGTCTGGACATTTGTTCAAGAGCTCTGCATGTTTTGTAGAGGTTTCCATCAGAGCCCATCAAACATAACTTTGTTGAAGCCCTGTTGTGAAGGAGGTGTTGCTGATTGTATGAAAAGAAAGGCACTGAGGCACAGGAGCATTACAGGACTTTCCTGAGGTCTTTTGTCAGCTTGTTGACAGAACTAAAAATATAATCAGTCTGGCATCAATAGAAAACTCCCTTGACTTGTATTTGCTGGTTATGCAAACATCAGCAAGGAAACAATCAGGTTCAGTATTCTGAGATGCAAAGATAATGGTGTTGATGTATTGATTCAGCAAAGAGCTCCAAGCCTCTGTGCTTAAGCTGTGTTTATGTTGAAGTTGAAGGCTGTGTTTATATTTTGAAGTAGCTCTGCAGCTGCCATCACTGCATTGCCTGATGAACTTTCCATCTTTCACTCCTTTGTGCAGGGAGCGCTTTGAGAGCTGGGGTGGGTGGTTCAATCCACTCCTCTCAGTGTGGGAAAAGCTCAGAGAAACAAAGGTTGTCAGTGTACTCTGGGTGTACTTTTAATGCCCAAAGCTCCTCCTGCCAGGTCAGCAGTGGTGGGACAGAGCTTTGTGGGGCTTCCCTGGGCTTTTGCAGCTTGTGCTGAGTTCAAGGCTGCTGTGGCCATTCATAGTTGGGATCTCAGCACTTGCCCAGATGTGCAACCTGGAGACAGCTGTGCTGAGGAAGAGATGACAGTACAATGTGTGTAGCTGCTCATTCCTGCCTCCTGCCAGAGCTTCCTGCTGCATCCTGCTCCTGGCTGTGGCGTTCCCAGGAGCAATCCCAGCTCTCTCCACTCAGAATTAGGGGAGAGGTTTAAATAGCAGCTGGTTTATGCCCTTCTTAACATTGGCTGGCACAGGTGAGGGCTCAGCTGAGGTGGTCCCAGCCAGGAGGGAGGATCCTGTCAGGCATGTTCAAGGTCTTCCAGAAAATCTGGGCCAGAGACAGACCTGAAATTTGACCTGTGCTGTCTCAAGGTAACCCCAAAAGATACTTTCAACCAACTGCTCTGTTATATCAAGGGTATTAGGGCTGCCATCATTGTCCCATTTAATTACAGAGGTTTTTTGTGTTGATTTCAATGTGACTTCAATATCCTGTGGCTTTTTAACAGCTTTTATAGGATTTGCCATCTGTCTTACCAGCATCCTATAGTCACTTGCATTTTGTAGGGATGCATTTGCAGTTATTTATGTTGCTTTGGTGCAAAAGAGTTCCATAAGAAATGATTGGAAATAATAGCTCAATTTTCCAAAATACAGCAAAGAAACTAAAGCCATGTTGAAAAATGGATTTTGGTAATTGCTGCCAGCTTTTCAGCTCACTGTTCCCTGGTCTGTTTTGGAAAATGGACTAAGTGTTGTATATAATGCCCAGCTTGATGCATTAACAGCATGAGTGGATGTGTGAAAGTTTTAAAGAAATAAATGTAAACATCACTTAGATGAGGCCGGAGCTGGAAGCAGAGAGGCTGGAGAGCAGACAGAGCACACAGGGGATGAGAGGGGGCTCAGGCTGACAACAGGTGAGAGCCAAGGCTGCAGCCACGTTTGACACAGCTGGGTGGGAAGTCCTTGCCAGACAAAGATGGGGAAATGCTTTAGCAGATGCACTTTGTATGTTTGGCAAATTAATTTTCCTGATTACTATTTATTTGGTGTAATCAGAAGTGTGTCTGTTCTTGCCTGAGGCTGGGAAGGAGTTTAAAAGCATTATTAGCGTAAGCTTAACAACACTTTCATCCTATACATAAATATTACCCTGTTTTCATGGATAAAAGCTCTCAATACTGCTTGAACACCGATTTCATTATGCCAGGAGTGAGGCTTTTTGGAAACTGCCTCTCAGATGATCTCTCACAGCTTTCCCAAGTTTTACAGATCCCATGACTGCTTAAGAATCCTATTGGGCAAGTTGTTAAGGACCTCCAGAGGCTTTGCAAGTTTAATTTCCGTGGCAAAACAAGGATGTTTGCTTATTATCTTCCAATTTAATTGTTGGCTCTTCCTAGCTGTGTGCTTGCATTGCCTCCCCTGCTCTTGTATTTTCTGCAGCCCAAGGTGCCAAGTGCTGGCTCTGATAAGCTGTCAGTGCTGCAGAGCTCTGCCCTGCCTGAGATCCTGAAAGGCTGATTTTGTTCTGAATGCAAATCTGTACAAAACAGCCCTGATTCTCCTGAGCACAACTCTCCATATCTCCTCCCAGGCACATGCTCAGATGGTGCTTGGGGAAAGGGGGGATGTTTTGTGTGGAGCTTGCTAATTATGAAACAGATTTCATCAGCCATCTTTGCAAATTGGCCTTAAAATTACCAGAACCCCAAAGTAGCATTAAAACTGCCTCATAACAGCAACAATGAATGAGCTTCAGTGCAGCAGGCAAGTGTGGAGCACTCTGGGACACGTGCAGTGTGTGGGGTTTTCGGGAATCTGGAGCTAATAGTGGGGGTTTCATCCATACCCCATCTCAAAAGCAGAGATGATGGACAGAGGCTTGGAATTTTTGTGTAAGAGCCACAAAGCAATTTAAAGTGCCTCTATTTCAATCACAGTCTCTTTAGGACTTTGCTGAGAAAAGCCATCCTCCAGTTTATTCATAGTCCTGACATTCATGCAAAAAAAAATTGCTCTGCATATTTCTGTTTTCTTTTAAAACACCAGTTCTTTCTAAATGGTCATGACCTGCCATGGAGAAGCTGCTTTGATGCTTTGTTGTGCAGTCAGAGTCTTCCTTTAGGCTTGAAACAGGCACAGAGTGGTGCTCAGCTGTGCCATAGGCACGTAGGAATGTTGCTTTTATTCTGATTACCTTCCCTAAAAATAAAACCCAGTTATTTATTTAGTACAAAATGCTGCCCTATTTTTATAGCCAAAGATAAATTGCATTTCCAGAGGTTCTTGTTGTTTCTCTGAGTGTCTCCACACAATACCCCAAGTGCTGCAGGTTAGATTTGAAGGCAGGTGAGGAATGCCTGGGAATGGGGGAACACAGCCCAGCCCAGACCATCCAAGGGCTGCAGGTGGAGGTGTTCTGCTCCATGGTGCTGGGAGCTGGAAACCACTGCAGCCTCCTTTCTCTTCATTTAGGAGTACTTTTTTTAGACCTTTTTTTAGTGTCTAAAAAATTTTAGTGATTTTTTTAGTGTCTGCCTGGCTTTTGTGGAGGATCTCTCTGGATCCCAGCCTTCCCTTTTCTGAGCAGCAGGGACAACTGGGCTATTCCATGTTCTGTCAGTGGCTGAACAGTGCTAGTGCATGTTTTCTTTGTCTTTGGTGCTGAAAGAGGCCAGTTTGGATTGTCCTGACCCAGAAAAGGCAGCAGAGTGTTGGAGAGAGTAGAGTTTCTATTCAAACTTACACATAAACATCAGTGTTGCAGACATCTTTTATGAACAATCCTTTCTTTAGGATTTTTCCTCCTGAGAAGCTCAGAGGCCTCAGGAACAAAATGTAAACATTGATTATCTGCTGCTGTGGAATGCAACAGGTGCATCTGTGATTGGCCCATGTTGGCTGTTTTTAATTAATGGCTAGTCACAGTCAGGTGGCTTGGACTCTCTGTCCCAGCCACAAACCTTTGTTATCATTCTTTGCTATTCTACTGTTAGCCAGCCTTCTGATGAAATCCTTTCTTCTATTCTTTTAGTACAGCTTGAATGTAATATATATCATAAAATAATAAATCAAGCCTTCTGAAACATGGAGTCAGATCCTCATCTCTTCCCTCATCCTCAGACCCCTGTGAACACTGTCACACATCAGAACCTCCCTCTTTGGCTCGTGGCCTTTTCCTGGGAGAAGGGTGATCTCTCCTTGGCTTTCCCCATTATCTTTTTTCAGACCATCTCCTGCTGGTTTCATCACAGGAAGGAGATGTCAGCAGCCATCCCTGGCTTTCTGAGGCTCTATTTAAAGAGCAGAGCTGCTTGGTCAGCCACCCTGCCCGTCCCTGTGCTGAACCTGGAATCAGGGATGAGCCAGGGCAATCCCACAGATTTCCTCCTTGGCTGCTGTGGCTCTCCCACCTCCAGTTTCTGTGGGATGTCCAAACCAGGCTGTGCATGGTTTGAATTTAGGTCTATTTTAGTATTGAAATGCCCATTTAGAGGTATAATTTACTTCTGTCTTCCAAGAACAGAAGATGTTTGCTACCAACTGCTTCCTGTCCATCAGAACAAAATGTTTATTTAAGTAGGGATAGGGTGGAGTATTTTTTGTTGTTTTTTGGAGCTTCTGGTTTAAGCTTTTTTTTTCTTTCTTTCCAATATGTTTTTCAAGGAGATCATGTTCTTTGCTAGCTACATGTTGGGTTTTTGCTTTGAGGGAGGCATTTCTCTCTTGAATTCCAGACCAAATATACCAAATTTTAGCACTTCATGGTGTTTAAACCATCAATAACTTCTACAGTTAAGCCGGAAACTGTACTCCTAATTTGCAAAACTGTGTTTGCATAATACAGCTACACATGCAAAATTATGTCTAATATATTCATATTAGAATATATTAGAGTATAATCATATATACACATATATAAATGTGTATTCATGTGTATAAATATTTATATATGCATGCACACATATGATACAGGTATCATTAAGATTTCTTCCTCTAATTAGCATCAATTCACTGCCACTCCCTGAAAGTGGTAAATGTTTAATAAATGTGCCATCTCTTTTGTCCTTTTGCTACAAAAATGGATAGAATACAGAACCAGGCAGATTATTTTCTCCAGATTAACATAAACTTTACAGAAAGATTTTTTTTTTTAGATTTTAAATGTTGTGTTTCACATCTTGAATTGGGTAGAATTTCACTTTATCTACTCAGATGCCCTTTCCCAAAGAGCTCTTGCAGAACTTGCAATTTCTCCACTGCCCCTGCGTGAACTGGGCCAGGTGGGAAGAACAAAAATAACTCACTCTTAATTTTAATTCTTTCTTCTGTCTGGTCTATCCAGGTTGCATCCATTATCTGCCTCTTGGGGGAGTGGGAATGAATTGTGGGGCTCTCCTACTGTTCACATCCTGACCTGCAGCACATTGCTGTGTCTCTAATGAAGTTTAGAGCTAATTTTCCTCTTGGGATTTCTCCCTTCAAGTCATGTTCTGAGTTCCTGGATGCAAAAGGAGGGCAGGGCCTGACATCCACAGCTGGGTGGGTGCTCTGGATCTGAACTTATCCTGCTCAAAAGAAGTTGAACAGGGTGCCTGCTTAATACATGGCATGAAAGTGCATCAGCAGTGTGCATTGGCAGGTCATCTGATCACATATGGTAAACCCTAAGGAAAAGCATTTAATCTAATTTTAGCCATAATTCAGAGTTGTCTGTGCTTGGAATGAGATGATAATTTTAAATAGGCATCAGTTCTATTTTAGTGTGGATTTTCTCAGTGCTCTTTCTTTTGTTTCTGGTTTTCTGGTGATTCTTTCCACTGCAGACAGGGCAGCTCCCCTGCCCTGTGAGGAACAGTTCAGGCACTGCAATGTGCTTTAGTCCTGTGCCCTGAGTGAGCCCTCCCTGCCAGTCCAGGTAAAGGATCTCTGTGTGTATCTCTGGCCATTCCTGAAATGTCACATTTCATTTATAAATTACTTTGGGAAAGGATTCCAGGAGTTCTAAAGAAATATGGAGGCAGCCCATCAGAGAGAAAGGGGATAAATAAAAGGGATCATGGTCTCCAAAGGGCTGAACAAGACTCATTCCTGTCAGAGGCACAGCAAAAGGCACAGTGAGATCAGTGCTTACAGGCAGAAACAATGCTCACTTGGATTCAGAGACCTATTGAATTCTTCATTACTTCCAGCCTTTAAATCAAGACAGGATCAATTCATAAACTGGGATATGTGGACTTGATGCAGATGTCCTTAGCCAGTGTCTTTAACAATTTATGCCAGAGACAATTACTTTCTTCTGCCTCTAAAAAGTGAATTACAAAATTAAGGTCATTCCACAGGACAGGGAGTTGCTGGGGTTTTTTATTTTTTAATTTTTCATCCCCTTCTGTGGTTAAGGCTTTGTTATCTGTGAGCTCTAGTCCCTTCATGGGGAAGTAATTTGTGTTTTCCACTGCTCCTGTGTAATCTGACTGATTCTGCATGACCTGGCTAAGGGTGTCATGTCCTATTAGAGGAGTGCAGACCAAAATACACTATCTTAGCTGTGGAAAATTTTCCTATGGTGACTTTGTCACTTGTCACAAATGGAATCACAAAGTTTTGAGAAAAATGTGAAGTGGCTAGAGATGGAGTGGGAAGGGAGGATGTGTGACCATGACCTTTCATACTGATGTGGATTGCTGGTAGTTTAAGAAACTTTTGTTATGGAATAAACCAAATTTCCCAGGTTACAGCAGAGTCCTTGATTGCAAGGCTGGTGGTTGAGTGTGGGAGCAATGGGGGGTGGGATGGTGGGGATGGACAGAGAGCAGAGATCTCTGAAACCAGGGCTTGGAACTTGGGGTTCATTGCAAAGGGCCTGGGGGCAGGGCCCTGCTGGGAGCTGCCAAACACAGCTCAGAGCAGGGCTGAGAGAAAAGTAAAGAGGGAAGGCAAGAGTGTGGTAAAGAGAGGATGAGAGAGAAAAGTTCCCATTACAATACCATAAATCTTCTTCTGTGCTGAATATTCTCATTCTCACTAACCAATCTAGTACAAGATACAAATCCTACAGCATTTCCTTACAGCCTATAAGAATCACTACATTACCACGCTGTGCTACATTTTAAACCCTAAAAACTCCTCTTTGGGCCCCTTCTGCCAAGCTGCAGGGTCTGCTCTGACCCTTGGGCCTGTCTGCAAGCAGAGGGTGTTGTTCCATCAAAAGGGGATCACCTTCAGCAGCCACACCATTGTTTTCCAGTTATATCTCAAACCTTGCTTTCATTTCAATCTCGCTTATAGTTTCCATATTCTCAAAATCTTTTGCCAGACAATCATATTTATAAGGCTTTCCTGTTTGACCTTCCCCAACAGTTGAGCAACTTTAAATATTATTCTTCCCACCAGCAAAGCAAAATGCAGTCTGAGGAGCAGCAGCAAAGTGTCTTGTGGGCAAAGCTGATAATGCAAGCTGAGAGTGGAGCAGAGAGGGCAAAGCTTCCTTCCCTCAGCCCTCAGAGGGTATCTGGGGCTCCCAGCTGCCTGAGCCAGCCATGGACTGGCCAGTGCTCTGTCTGGGTTTGTTTTGTGCAGCCCTGAGCAGTACAAGGCAGATGGGCAGGTTCTTATTTCAGCTTTTTTTACCTGTTTTTGTTTTTCTTTCCCCTTCTCTGCAGTACGTGGTCATTCCAACTCGCCGAGCAACCGCAGTGGCCTTGCAGAGTTTCACTTCACACCTCCTGGGAGATGCTGGCAGTCCTTATCTCATTGGATTTGTAAGTGCTCACAGCAGGCTCTGGCAGGGTTTGCTCTGGTTTCCAAACTGCTCCTCTGAAATGCCAGGTTAGGTCCTGCTGGGAAGGAAGGCCTGTGTTTGTCAGCAGAATGGGAAGTGCTGCAGAGCAGTGCCACTTCCTTTACCTGGTTGGGTTGTTGTGAGCTGCAGCTCAAGCCAGGGGGGACTACTTGGGTGTGGGAAATACACTACCACATCTTTGTAGCCTGAGGTGTTTCCAGCTCTGGAAAGAGAGAGGGTTCTTGCTGTGGTGTGGACATGGGGCCCAGAGAAATTAGGCTGGAAGAGTCTTGTGTATGTTTAGCTGTTAACTGGCCTCAGAAACCAAATATCTGTTTATGGACAGCAACACACAGCTGTACCTCCTTTGTATGACAGTAAAACACAGAACCACAGAATATTCTGGGCTGGAAGGAGCTGACAAGGATCATCCAGCCCAGCTCCTGGCCCTGCACAGACACACCAACAATCCCACCCTGGGCATCCCTGAGAGCAGTGTCCAAACTCTCCTGAGCTCTGGCAGCCCTGGGGCCATGGCCATGCCCTGGGGAGCCTGGGCAGTGCCCAAACAGGGGTTTTGTTGTGTTCCTTCCTGGAGTGCTCACTTTGGGTTCCTTTCTGTGACTGCTGCAGTGGCTGGCCTTGGTCTGACTGAGGATTTCCCTTCCCATGCCACCCTTGTCCTGCTGCAGAACAGAACAAGAGACCCAGCTCCAAAATCTGGCACTCAGAGAACATTCACAGTTGGAAATAAAAGGCCTGGGAAATGTAATGAGGAAAAGAAATCTGGATATACTGGGGAAATGTCTTTTTCCTTCAGTTTGATGCATGGAGTTGCAGAGATCACAGATCATCATTTATAAAATACAGTAGCTCCCACAAAAATCCATGTGTGACCTTGTTCCTGGTGTGTTGAAAGTGCTGCTTCCAGGGATGTAACTGGGATCTCCACTGGTCCCATCTCCTGAGAGACAGGACTTTGATGTGCTCCTCCAGCTCACACACAGCTGCTGGGGGCTGTGGGGCTTTTTTATTTTTTACAACCATCATTGCTCATCTATTCATCCTGCAGACACCAGTGTGTGCAGCTACACATATTTATTTATATCTACTTAATTTTGTGAGTATGTCTGTTTAAATATACATCAATGTTTACTTTTGAGTGGCAGTGCTGTGGCTGCTCTGCAGCTCTCTGAAGCACACAGGAAAAGGCAGATAGAGATAAGAGTGAGAAGACCAAAGAAATGAGAAATCTCTCAAGAGAATAAAAATGCTCGATTTAGCTTAACTCTTTATTTACTTCAATGTTCTGGGCACCTGGGGAGAAACAATCTTATTTTAGAAGTTATTTGAAGGTGGCAGAAAAAGAAAGGAATTGCAGGAGAGGCTGCTTCATGCAGAACATGATGTGGGGAGTGTGGGAGAGGAGAAGGATTCAGGCAGGGCTGGGGCAGGCCAGGCTGCCTCAGGTGACTGCTGCATGTTCAGCCTTTCCCTTACAGAAGAGGGATGTCCAAGAGGAATTCCCAGGGCCCTGAATGATTGCAATTATTCTTGAAAGTTGCCTGGGGCTCTTTGATGTCATGGATTAAAAATAAAAGGTCTTTGGTTGTAGAAATAATGTGCCTTGCCCTTCTGGTATTCAGAGATCAAGCAAGTTGTGAGTTAAGGATTTCTGGCTAAAATATGTATAGCCTCAATTTAATAGCTGCAAATTAGGCTTTCTCTAGATTGAGAAAATATTTGTTACTATTTTAAATTATTTCTGAATTATTGGTTATTATTTTTGAATTATTTTCCTTTTCAAATGCTGTAATTGTCGGGCAGTTGTGATTTGGGAGGAGGTGAGGCAGGTCCAAGGCTCTGTGCAGAGGAGGAGGAGTGAAGCCCTCATGCCATGAAGGGAGCCAGCATCCCTTTGTGCAGCTCTTTTCTGGCTGGGCTGATTCATCCTCCCTCTGCTACCAGAGCTGAAAGGTCAGCTCCAGCTCCACATAACACAGAAAACAAATACTATTTAAAGTGAAAGGACAGCCAACTTCTGCACCACAGCTAAGGCAGGCACTGGACCTGGGTGTTACAAAGCACAGGAACTGTCCAGCTGCAGTGCAGGATGGAGAAACCCCATGCAGCACTGAGCCCCAGCTGGGCAGGCTGCAGAAGGGGCTCAGATTCTGACCAGGGTTTTCAGGGCAGTCTGTGAGGGCTGAGGAACCTGCTCCTGCTGGATTTAGGGGAAATTTGGGATCCTAATTCCCACAGTTCTGGGAATCCCCACCCTGAGGGCATCAGCTCCCACTGCTGTGGCTCCAGACCTTCACAAGGCAGACCAGGAGCAGGAATGGGTTTTGAAGGAGAGCAGCAGAAGGCCCTGGAGGTGTCCAGGGAATGACTGGATGTGGCACTCAGTGCTCTGCTCTGGTTTACAAGGTGACATTCAATCACATGTTGGACTTGACCATCTCAGGGATCTTTTCCAACCTTAATGATTCTGTGAGCTGCAGTAACAGGCAGGCTCAGGATGGTGAAACTCAACCTCCTGATCCCCTGGGTTCACCTGGGATCTGCTGTGTCTGCCAACTGCTCACAGAATTCCCTGGAGTTCCCTCACTAAATGAGCAGTGCTTTGATCAAACATGGCTGGAATCCTACATGCTTTTGGTGAGTTTATAGTGAGATTCCCTCCAGCAATGCTCTTAATAAAGAACTGGGGACCCTTGTCCTTGTAGGACCAAGCTGTGGCAGGCAGTTATCTCTGCTGGATACCAATAAATGTGGTATTGATCTTAAAATCCCTGTATACAACACAGAAGGTGCTGATCAGCCTCAGGTGTGCAGTTGCTGCTGTGCTCTGTGGTGTGTCCTGGAGCTCAGGGTCACACTCAGACTTTCTGTCACTTCACCCATTCCAAATCTTGCACTGCAGCTCCTTAAACCACCCAAAGCAGCAAATACACATTAGTGCTTAAAAGCTAAGTGGCAGGGAGCACATTTGTGTGGCTATTTTTCATGTCTCTTTAAATATTGATAACTTTTATTGTGATAAAAAGGCTTCAGATTGACTTACAAAGGAGTTATGCAAATACAGCTTTAGGGTGGCAGCTGCAATTTGCATAAAGCTTCACTACATGGCAAGCTCTGAGATCATTTACTGTAAATCAGCACTGCCTGCTCATTTCCAAATAGGAATAGACATTGCTGCAGAAGTTCAGTAGATGAGACAGCTTTTATTCCTAGAGAGCTGTAACTTTTTTCAGGATTTTGTGATAACCAACCTGTAGTTTAAACAACTCCTTTTTAACACCTCCAGAGTCACCCCACACTTTATTCTTGAGGCAGCAGGTGAGAAATCTCACCTGCTCAGTGCATTGCACCCAAATGTGTGTAGTACTTTTCTGTCTCTGACCACTCCCACGATTGCTGGAGCACAGAAGTGTTAAGGGAAATGCCCCAAATCCCTCCATTGATGTTGAATATCCTATAAAGGTCTTCACCTGCTGCCGAGGCAGCATTTCAGGCTCAGAAGAGCAAGTGGAGGGAGGTGGCAGCAGCAGGTGGTGAAATAATTAGCTCTTGTCAGGCTGCTTCACAACTCAGCTCTTTGTATCACTAATTCTGGTTTGATCTTGGTTGCCCTTTAAAATAAAACAACTGTAAGTCCATGCTCCTGTGTCCATCTGTGCACAGGCATGAACCTGTTTCACTGCTCAGGGTTTGCATCATGCTTCCTGTATCCCCCTGTACTTTCTGACTGCTCTTCTGCTTCTGGAAATCTGAATGCAGGCAGAAGGAGGGTTTTATTTCAAGGCTGTGGCTTGGGTCTTTCTTTCTTTCTTTTGTTTTTCCTTTCCCTTCCTTCCTTCCTTCCTCCCTCCCTCCCTCCCTTCCTCCCTTCCTTCCCTCCCCTTCCTTTTCCTTTCCTTCTTTCTCTTCCACGTTTGTGATTTGCTGAGCACTTTGCTCTTCCACCCTTGCCAGTGATGCCAGCAGGACCTGCTGCAGGCAGTGCTGTCCCTGTGTGCCAGGCAGGTGGGCACACACTGCCCTCACTGCCCTGCTGCTGGTTGCTTCAACTCCTTCCATCCCCTCTGTGCAGCTGTTTAGAGGGTCTCAGGATGAAAAGCAGTCAGTATCTCCTTGTCACCCGGCCACATCAGCCTGTGAGAGGATGTTCTGAAGTGCCAGAGGTGGCTCTCCTCCAGGAGCACCTTGGATGGACCAGCACTGCTCCCTGGACTCTGATGGTGGCTCCACCTCTCCTGCCCTCTTGGGCTGTTCCAGTTTCACTGGAGGGACACCACCTCCAGCCTTGGCACCTTCACTTTTCTCCTTCCCCAGCTTTCCTCTGAGCAGGTTGATAAACCTAATGAGCTATTTAAGCAGCAAGAATAGTAATGACCTTCCTTTAGCAAGTAGTTAGCAGAGCAGTGTTAATTATCCCTGGTGCAGAGTATCAGGGCAAGCAGATCAGAATTTCATTAGGGGCAAGGCAAGGAAAACTGTGGTAAATGCAGCAATTAAGATACTTTTGAATGAAAGTTATACCTGGAGGTGCAGATTTCACAGAGTCTTGGCCCAGTTTGAAACAGCTTTTTTGTTGATTTGGTTTGAAGGTGTTTACCTCACCAACTATATCTGTATGGAAAGTAGCTCTATGTGTAAACACTTGCCTGCCTGAGAGAGTAGAATTCATGTATTATGGTTTAAAATTCATATTTTATGGTTTAAAATGCTATGGCTGCTTCAGAGTAGGACATGCTTACTCTGGAAGGACACTTTTCCCAGCTTAGTTTGCTAGACTAGAACAGACCTCAGCCCACTGGCAGTCAAATCCACTTCTGTCTGACTTAAAAACAGGGTATAGCAATGAAGTGGGTGGTTGATGTGATGCTGCAGTCTGGGTGTTCTGTCCCTGGCTGACCCATGCAGCCATTCCTCACACATGGCCCATTAGGTGCCTGCTGGGGGTTGCACAGCTCA